AGCCTTAGCCTTATCCTTAGCCTCAGCCTTAGCCTTATCCTTAGCCTTAGACTTAGCCTCAGCCTTAGCCTTAGACTTAGCCTCAGCCTTAGCCTTAGATTTAGCCTTAGCCTTAGCCTTAGCCTTTGACTTAGCCTTAGCCTTAGCCTTTGACTTAGACTTGACTTTACTGATCCCTTTGGGTGGCAATTTGTTTGGTCCAGCAGCAAGTTCACAGATATAAACAGGATAAAAACAATTATTACAGTAAGGAAAGAGGTACAAAAATGTACGAAATAATGTAAACCGTTACTAAAGTAAAGAATATTAACAACTGAGAGCAGATAAAATTGTTTTCCCATATCTTGCAATGTTATTTGAAATGCACAAAAGTAAGGCAATACTGTATGACACAATGTAAATGTCATATTGTACATCCCTTATATGCAGTGGGCATTATGAATATTATGCAGTGGATCATATTTATATGAATATATTGTGCAACAGTGCAACAGAATCTGTGCAAAGTGTAGACAGTGCATTCAAGCTGATCAGCAAGAATTCTTTCACAGGAGAGTAATACTAAGTGCACAAGGTCAGCTGCCATTCTGCACATGTCTTTAATTCAATATACATGCTTTTAGATACATTCATTTTTATATCCTACATTTTTAAACCTGTACTTTGTGGTCAAAATGCATTTCATGAATGAAAGAAAGTCATTTTGTGGATGAAAAGCATTTTGTGAATGATACACAGTCATTTTGTAGACAAAATTGATTCTGTGGAATCACAAAATGCATTACTGTATGTCTTTGGCTAAGTTAGGAGAGGTACTTAGTACTGTAGGCATGCACCCCTGCGGGGAGGGGGTAGTACCTTTCAGTGACCAGAAGGTGGAGTGCCGGCTATGATTTTGCAATCTCATTTTATTACGTTTAACTTGTATTTAAATGTAATAAAAATACAAAATACTTCTGGGCCCATAGTTTTATTGTTGTATTTACTCGTTAGTCTCACTATTTTTTCCATTACATTTTTTATACTTTCAAGCCAAGCCAATGAAAAATCTTGACATTGAGATCTTACTTCACTAAGACATCTTGGTGTACAATGAGAACTGGGTGCACAGTAAAATAAACATGAAGTCGGACTACTATACTACTACTATACTACTACTATACTTCATTTTTCCAATGAAAAAAAGGCACATTAGCAAACAAGGAAAGGAATTTGTGATGGTAAGCTGCAGCAGCAAATTACATTAAACCTTATTCTATATTCTCTTTATTTTATGGCTTTATGCTTTATTTTACGGTGTCTTTAGGCGCTAGAAAGGCGCCTTTTAAATAAAATGTATTATTATTATTAAACCTCTTATTCTATTTCAGTAGTTTTCTTGGTGAAGCCGCCGCTAAGGTTTGGTCTCACTGGCTCTCATTCTGATATGGAAGCCAGTGGACAGCAGTACAACTTAAGCTATTTATTTTTGGGCGGGGGTTTAAACTCAGTCTCCACTCTGTAGGTAGGGGGTGTATGTTCTCCCCGTATAGAGTGGGTTTCCTACAGGTACTCCAGCTTCCTCCCACAGTCCAAAGCCATGTATTTAGGCTAGTCGGTATCTCCAAACTGCCCATATTCTGTGAACTTGGGTGTCAGTGTGCAGTGATGGACGGGAATCCCACCCTGGAATAGACCCCAAGCTCCCCGCGTGATGCTGACCAGGGTCCGTGACCAATCGCGGTGCACGGAACGGGGAAGCAGGAGAGGAATACAAAGGATTGAGTAACACGGGATTTAATGGGGAACTGGAGCAGTGACATGGAACAGACAGCACGACACAATCAGACGTGAATAGACTGCAATGACAGACCTAGGGAAACGTACTCGAACGCGGACTGAAATACACAGGACTAGTCAGGAATAACACGAAACAGCTGGTAACAATCGGGGTTTCACAGCTGCACGAGGTAACGAGGGGGGCATGGCACATGAAAGGATCGTATGAGCAGGTCATGACAGTAACAATAGATCATTTTCATTATGAGTTTAAAAGGTTTAATCTCATTCCATGTTAAAGCGAGTGCACAGTTTAAAAGATGACAAAATGTAATTAAAACCATGCAAAATAAAACGCTTGTATGATCAGTCACATTTCATATTTTACTGAAATCTTATAAAATATCAAAAGACAGATCTAACATTGTAAAATAAACTAGGACTATCATCAAAATGTACACAATGTGGTAAATTCATAAAGCCGTACGATGCGTCACACATGCTGAACATGTCTTTTTAAACTACCAAAATCTGTCACTTATCTCCGTGCTGGTGGCTGATTATAGTCACTAGATATCTGTGCAGTATTTAGTGATCTCTTGGTTTGTCATGTACAATCGGCCGTGTGCCTTGGGGCTGTACCACACCTTGGTCTTCCACAGAATTCTAGCATCAGAATAATACAGAGGAGAATCATAACAGCCGATCCGACACCGATCCGAGACACATTCTCTACAGCCTGTGAAACTGAGGGAGAGACTACATCACACATAAGGTCTGTAACAAACCACAGCTGATCACACAGAGGTAACGTTGCAGCTCAGTATGATCTGACAAATAAAATATGTCAGCACTTTTAAAATTTTAATTTTAAATCTTAATTGCAAGATTAATTGCTCACACATATATGCAGGTGTAATTCATGTAGTGAAGGTGGAGTAAACTGGTTTGCAGGGTTGCCAGCTTTGGTCAGCTGGCTGGCATGAGATTTTCAATTTGAGATAAATCTGCACACACATTTACATGTATGTAACAGTTTTATTACATTGTAAATAGTCAGTAGGGTTTGCAAATTACCCCAGTGCTTTTGATGCAGCTAATTTTAGCTTTATACTGGAATAATACAGATTTGCAGTGAGATTTCTTGCATAAACATCAGAATCTGAAAGGATTAGTCAGTTCAGATGCGTGAGAGCTGACAACCCAGGGTGTGGCAGTTCTGTTCCCTCTGCGTGAGATAAATGTTATTGATGCTAAGAGGAAAATCGCTTGCATATATCAGGAAAGACTATTAGCCTCAAATATGTCACTTTGAACTAAAGCTTCTGCTCAGTGAAGTAAAATGCAGAGATACAATCACACCCACAGCCCTGGAGGTATGAGACCAGAGCACTGAGGGTAACATGATAAATACATTAATAAAACAATAATACTTACTAATGATACTGGGCACCAAACCGTTGCTGATTGTGGAGTAAAATGGTTCTTCAGTTCTGTTCCCTCTACATCTATATTCCCTGTGATAGGAGCCATTCCCAGATCTCACAGTGAAGGTCTGTCCATCCTGGTCTTCAGGAAGCTGAGATCCATCTGCGTACCATGTGTAGCTCCATCCAACAGAGCTTCCCTCAACCTCACACCTCAGCGTCAGACTGTCTTTGGTCAAGATCTGCAGAAATCCTGTATCCACAGCCAGAACAGCCTGTGGATAAACTTAAAACATAAATATCAGCGTTTAATATCCATGCATGCATCCATCCATTTTTCACGCATGCTGGTCCTATGCAGGGTCTCAGTGGTGCGGAGCCTATCCCAGATGCAACAGACGCAAGGCAGGGAATAACCAAGGATGGGGCACAAACCCATCACAGAACTGTTAATAAGTTAACATGATATAGTAGAAATGTTTCACTTTTAAGAAAAACAAATTATACAGAAAGACAGATATTAAGGAGAAAAACGATACAGAGAGGAAACAGAAAAGGTGCAAAACACATTAAGCTCCAGATATTTCAGGAAGCATCACTGACCCCTTAAACAAAGTAGCTTAATCAGAAATTATTATGGCATCGTTGAAAAGTTTCTTTTTCTCTTAAAGCTTACCATGAATGTCCACCTGCAGGGGGTCACTGTACTGAGAGTAAAAGCTCCCTCTCTGAGCCC